GGGTTTTATTTTCCTGGTGATGTCCCCCTCTTCTCCAAGGAGGAGTAATGGATCCTTACTTATAAAAGGGATGAGCATGAGAACACTTCAAATCATAGCAATAGTCAATGTGAGATTTCAGAATAATTCAATTTGTTCCAGTATGAATAACAATGTGTGTCTGGGCAGACATTCATATTGATCAGTGCATTTGTTAAATTTCAAGGCAGAAACACCTTAAAGATTATTTACAACATTTACAGAAAATTTGAAATCAAGATACATCAATTCACCATCAATGTCAAATAGTTAAGAGACAAAGCAGAACTGAGAGCAATATCTCCTAACACAGGAGCTAAAATAACAGAATTAGTCTTTTCAGAATCTGCTAATGGGCTAGTCAGATGAATGATAAAACCTGCTTTCATATTGGATATTGTTTTTAAAGATTTTAACTTTTAAAGCTTGAATTAGGAGGTAGAATTCATTCAAATTATGGATTTTAGTTTTTTCTCTTGGATAGCCATGTTTCTGAATAACTGTGATATCAGAATTGTTTTGCATGTAATAGACAAAAAAAAAAAAGAGTAAGAGTTTAGGCCAAAGTTGAGAGAGTCTTGGCTGGCCTCAAATTTGTGATACTCCTGCCTCTACCTCCTTCTGTAAATCCTACCAACGTGTGCCACCACAACTGGAAAAGTGAATATGTATGGATAAAGGGGTGTACTGTGTGACGCTCTGTGTCATATTGCAGCTTCCATGATGAGATTTTCCCCCTTCTTCCTTTTCTTCACCTTTTTTTTTCCTCTTAAATTTTATTTTGTTTTATTTTTGGAGGGGAAGGGAGGAGGGACATGGAGGGATCGGGAGGCATGATATGAAAGACACGAAAGAATAAATAAAAGTTTTTAAAAAAGATGAGAGGGTCCCAACTGTGCTTTTCCCTTCCTGAGACATTTGTGTATCTCCAGTTTTACAAGTGAACATTCTGGATTTTTTGGTGTTCTCTCCAAAAAGGAAAATGTGGGAAAAATCTTTGCTAAACATTTAACTATGTGAGTTGGAGTAAAATGACAAGAACTCTGCTGTAAAATGGACCCTATATAGGTTAGGTTTCTCCTAAGGGCTGATGTTGATTCAGACGCATGGTATCCACTGTGCGCTTTGGCTCCGTGAACACAAACAAATGGTTTAACACAGCAACATTCTCTCATTGGCTCAGCCCCCATTGTTCGCTGCACTTAATCACAGCTCACAGTTGATGCCGATGGCTATCTATGCCTGGGACATTTTAACCTATATAGAATTAGACAATTTGCAATATTTTCTTGATGTTATTTTTTTTTTTAAATTTCAAGTAATATTGTTTGGTTGCCATTAGCACTTGGCCCCACCCCTCCCTGTCACTCATGTGCTTTTTAAAGGCCAGATTTGGTTAGTTATCAAATTTTAAACTTTACAATATCAGTATCATATCACTTTTACAACTCTGTAAGATTCTTTGAGTAAGATATGGTGATGCATACCTATAATCCTAGTACTTGGAAGGTAGAAGCATGAGGTCATCCTCAGCTACATAGTGAATTTGAGGCCAGCCTGGGCTATGTGAGACCCATGTCTCAAATAAAAAAGAAAATTTAAAACATTATATGCTCTCATTCAAATAATCAGCAAAACATATGGCAACTAAACTAAACCTTTTCACTGCCATTTCCAAGGCTCCAAGGGCTTTTTTCAGTTTTTATTTCTTCCTTTGCACCCAAAGTACTCTTGGCTTGGCAGGTAGTATTTATCAAAAATCCAACATACACAGTGAGGTAAACTCAGCCTTCTTAGTTAAGGTCATTGTTATACATAGAGTTTAATTTGCATGCACATGGGGCAGCCTGAAAACTCTGTTCAGCTGTGTCTGTGAAGCAAATATGATCTGTAAGCCAGTGCATATTAAAACAGGACTTTAGCTTCTTCATCCATTATGTAGATCCATAATGACAATGATGATAAAGTAGATAGATGTCCCATTTTGTCACATTTTTCTCTGCTGGAGAACGGAGTTTATGATTCTATGTCTTCCTGTCTACCATATGAACTTGTATATATCTTATAGCTTACTAATAAGAGGGACATGCCATCCTTATCAGCAAGACTGAGACCCACACAAGTGTGTAAGTGGTAAAGGACACACAGCTGTCAATAAATACATGTGCCTTCCTCTGTAGGGCCAGCCTTAGTTGCTATTAAGTTATGCTGTACCCAACCGAATAGGATATAACCAAACTAGAGTGAGTCTTCTAGAGCATAAAGATGTTCAAATCAAAAGTACTGCATAGCTGAAACAGACCTCTATAGTTTCGATAATTCTAAAAATCTTCCTGTGACAGTAAGCATGATTCCTAGATCTTGTTTCTTGTGGGTTAATTCAGCTGCATCCTGTGCTATTAAAGCCTGTTTGCAGTTACTTCTTTTGCTGTATGCTCTACTCCAAATTCTGTCTTTAAATCCAAATCCTCCTTGGTTTATGTGTTTTATTGCTTTCAGATAACAAATGGTAAAATCAACACTCAAGCATGGCTTCAGGACACACAACATGATAGCTTTTAAACATAGGTCACTATAGCTTTCCAACTAAAAATCAAAACAGAATCATCATGATTTATTATTCATTTTGGAGAATCTGAATCTTATTTGAGAGACTACGAATAACATAAGACAGCATGGCTGTATTCACTGCGCTGTGTGGGACTTCATTTGCTGATGGTACACTCTTGGGAGGGGCATCATTTTCCTCTAGCTTCCTAGGTTTCTTTAGAATTTCCACTGCCATCCCCAATAACAGTGATTAAACCTGGGATTTCACACAGGCTAGGCAAGCATGCTACCCAGTGAACTATATCCCCAGCCAGTTTTTAAAAATCTTCCTCTTATAGATCAGCAGTTCTCAATCTGTGGGTCATGACCCCTTTGGGGATCAAATGACCCTTTTGCAGGGGTTGCTTTTAGGTATTTTTTCAAGGCTAAACAGATATATTTAGATAGATAGATAGATGGTTTTCAAACACTTCAAAGACCTACAGAATATGGCACTTAATATGTTTAATAACATAAGGCTTTTCACGACAGTGAGACAAGTCTGCTCCTGACAGCACCAATTTTCTTCAGAGAAGATAATGGGCATCAAAGAAACTCCATATGGAGTTTGTTTTCCTTATAGTAAAATCTAGCCATTTGGACAAAAAAACTGCCCTTGCCTCAATTGCTGACAGTATACTGTCCAAACTGAACCAGCAGGACTCAAAAGAAAGCAACTCCCAGACCTTGCCAAGAGAAGGTAGGACAGTCCTTCAAAATTCCCTGCTTCTCAAAAAAAGTCTGTCAGATATACTAGGCCTGTAGGCCAAAGATGGATGTCCCAACATTACAGAAGAACTTAGGGTGACTGTACAGGTAGTCAGATGTCCCTGGATATATTAATATTATTATTAATAATAATAATATAGATAATATTTCACCCTTCTGGGGTCTTTGTTGGAGTTAAAGACTAAATAATTAGATTTCAAGTTTTCCTTAGTTATGATAAGAGGTAAATTAGGTATAAAACTTTAGATTAACAAAGATAAAATAGATAATAGAACATTTTTCTCTAGTTTTGCCAAAGACAAATGGACTAGTATTATAACTGTAATTCTTACTTGTTAACTGTTTTTGTTGTATATAATTTTACTGTGCTAAAGTTAAAACCTTCTGTTTTAATTAGAGAAAATGTGGGAAATGTGGAATATTCCTTTACACTGTGTGAATGTATGTCACTGTGATTGGTTTAATAAAGAAGCTGACTGGCCAATATCTGAACAGGATAATGTTAGGTGGGAGAGCCAAACTGAGAACTCTGGGAGAAAGAAGGGTAGAGCTGGGGAGCTGCTAGCAGATGCAGAGAGAAGATGGGCATGCCATATTGAAAAAAGGTAAAGTATAGATAAAAATATGGGTTAACTTAAATGTAAGAGTTAGCTAGTAACAAGCCTGAGCTATTGGACAAACATTTGTAATAATAAAAAAAGACCATCAGAAAACATAAATATTTACATTATGATTCACAACAGTAGCAAAAATATTGTTATGGAGTAGTAATGAAAATAATTTTACAGTTGAGGGTCACCACAACATGAGGAACTATGTTAAAGGATCACAGCATTAGGAATGTTGAGAACCATTGATTTAGATAATGACTCACTAAATTGCCCAGGGTGGCCTTGGGCTCACTCTGCAGCCTGGGCAGACTTTGTGTTTCTAATTTAGTCCTGAAAAGGTGGAATTTCAGGCCTGTGCCACCAGTTTGACTATGCTCTTATGTTTTCTGTATTTTCATTTTTGTTAATTTCATTTCTAATAATTCCCAATTGTAGCATGTTTGAGATAAAGCAGAATTGTATGCCAATTATGGACATATGGAAGAATATCATCCAATGATGATGAATATGATATTCACCATATTTCCCTGTCAGACATACTTTTCATTCTTCCATAAACTTCCTCCTCCTTTTATATATCTACAGACATAATACTTATGTTTAAAGCATAACAGGTTCAAGTTCTTCTGAGGCTACATACAAATTTGATTTTAAAGACTCCCTGAAAGTGCTAGACAAGAAACAGGAAACTGTCCTTGGAGCATACTGAGAACCAGTTTGTCATTATGTATTGGCTGTATGTCCTGCATCAACAGTGATCAGGCAGCCTTGTTTTTTAAGATATATATTTTTATATTAATGGAATGGACAGTTTGTTGATTTATTTAATTCAAAAGAAGGACCTGTATATAATGTTTTATCTGAGAAAATATGAATCTTGTTATGAGGCAAGATGTATAGGTTGCCCCAAGACTTTATAAGCTGCAGTTTTCCCACTTGACATTTAAGTATCTTTCTATACATTGTTTATTTCACTTTCATTGTGTAATTGTCTTCAAGCACCATTTATATCTAAAGAGAGGCCCCCAAAACATCAAATATAGACATGATATCTTGAATTACAATGGCATAATTTAATACAATATCATCACATTTAAACACATACATATATACTTGTAAATCTACTTATTATGAGTATAATTCTGTATAATATTTTGACAGATAAAAATATAGGTTTTGGAACCATTATATGCATTTGTCTATGCAGTAGCAAACATACATTATGGCAAACTTAGAATAAATTATACATGATATCAGAGTAAATTTTGTAGAAGGATAAAAAGGAAAATGATGATTTATGTTTAAAATATAATGCTAATTCATTATTTACAAATAAAAATTTCTATACATATTATAGTAAATCCACTCATTTCAAGCTTACATTCATATGATATTCACATAAAATTCATTACTTTAAGTATAGCAATGAAATTGGATTTGGCACTGAGCACTTGACAGCTTGTTGAAATATCACTCCAGCTACAAGCCTGATGTTCTGAACATGTGGAGGGGAACACAATTTACCTAAGAAATATGGTGCAATCATTGGTAAAGTGTAGAAGTAAAACTCCTATCTTGTTCTGATGCTATGTAAGGGTATTACCTCCCAAGTGAGAGTGAAACACCTGGGCTATTTTGATTTCACTGGGGATGAATTTGAAAATGAGGTCAACTGCATGAGTCTGGAATAACTTACAGATGTCTCCATGCCAAAACAGAGCACACCTTCGGCAACTTGAATCTTATTCCCTTGCTTGGAAATCAGGGAGAAATCATGCCAGAGTGCATGATGAATGTCTTGGGATTCTTCATTCAACCTTTTGATATTTTAATACTTTAAATATCATCTTACTTCTCTTTAGCAAGTTTAATGGGTATGTGATTTTTGGTAACTGCTTTGATAGTGTGTACTGGTGCTTCAAAAACAAAACAAAAATACACTGTTTATTAGTTTATACTCTATTTAGCTTTAGTATTCTGAGGTAAGGCAAATGTTTCTCTCCTAATTACCATTAATATTATTTTTTCACTGTAATTACATAAGGTTATTTGGACAATTGTTGACTAAGAACATTACAATGTAATGTCTGTGAAAAGAGCCTACTTCGCTGTGGGCTCTACAGTACGAGTAAGGCTTAATGACATGCATAATGGAAGCACATACCTCAGCCATCTGAGGGAGGACATGTGATGATGAGGCAGGCAAAATTCACTCTTTTGTCTGTGCTGGGAGACCTGGTGGGTCTGAGATACCATATTCACCAGAAATTGCATCCCTGTCCTTAATACTTTTTTATGCTAAGTTTTATCTTTTTTGGTCTGTGTTTTCCTTGACTCTTTTCTCACCCCACATTGAGAATCTCAGACTCCACACTTGCAAGTACAAGACTGGTAGATGAAGGAATTCTCTATTCCTTAAGCGTATACATGATTCACTGAAGAGGCTCAAGTATTGAGATAACACTGAAAAAGAGAACATTCCAATATGTAAAATCATTTAACTTCACAGTTTGAAAATCACACTGGGATTTTAAGCCACATGTTTCAAACAAAGGAGGTCTGCCTGTTCATGATTTGAGACAGTTCCAATTGTAACCTATAGACAAGAGTTCTAGGGCTCGGAGCACAAGGTTTGTACTTAATGCTGAATACTACAAACAGGAACAGAATTACATTTAACCATTGACCTCTGGAAAGTCATGTGCACACAAGATATTAAAATGATGGCTTCTTCTCTTTAGGATTTGTTTTTACTTTTTTGTTTTCTATGACATTTTGAAATTCAGTATATACACTTGTGGGGATCTTTCCAGCCCCTAAAAGTGGCTTATGTGTAAAAGGGCCCGGAGCAGATCCTTAACACTAAACTATTCTATTCATGAATGTCCAGAAATGAGTGGGGTTTGTTGTCCAGTCTCTCTGTGAGTTGTTTGGGAATGGCTGGTAATAAATATGCAGTGAATGCAAGCTGTTGCAGTAATCATCACCTGCAACAGGTGTTAGACAATGGCCTTTCTTTACATATGGCTCAACTTTGTCTCCAGGACTGACTTGGAAAATAAGCCAAGACACTATATTTGTAAGGTGTGACAATACTTAATATACTAGAGCTGGAGATAGAAATATGTTTTTCCTCTTCCCCTTTTCTTAATTTTCTTCTAGACTTATTGCTGTAATGCTGCCCAATAACCTTCCATGCTTTGCTTCGGGCACTTTTCTTTGAGCATATGGCAATTGTGGACGTCCTCAAAGAGTTCAGTGCTTTTTTTTCCCATCCCAACATGGACTCTATTTTCCATCATTTACACATAAAATGTCTCTATTAAATAAATTTTTGTTTGTGTTGCTTGTGCTTAGAATAATATATGGCCTCACTGAAAAAAAAAACACAACAAATTGTGGAGCTGGGTGTGTAGCTCAGTAGGCGAGCCCTTACCTAGCATGTGAAAGGCCCTGTTGTGTTAGATCTCCAGCACCACACAAAAACAAAATTAGAAGAGAGAAAGAGAGGGAGAGTTTGGAAAGAGTGAGTGGAGAGAGGGAGGGAGAAACATGGAGAAGGGGACAGAGAGACGAAGGGATGGTTGGATGGAAGGATGGATGGAGAGAGAGAGAGAGAGAGAGAGAGAGAGAGAGAGAGAGAGAGAGAGAGAGAGAGAGATCATGCAGAAGAGCAAGAAAGGGTAAGTAAGTAAGAGAGTGCACACTGGAAACTGAGCAAATGTCACATTCAAATCATGGAAGAGCAGGCTAATCCATACATGGAGAGAAGTAAATTGATTAACTCACTGCATCGTTTACAGTAGTGGTTGCAAATCAATGCAGTCTATGTGTTGTAGCAATTAAACTGATGTCCAGAGCATTAGCCAGCAAAGATGATCAGAACCATTCAGTCTCCTTTCCATGGGCTCGTTAATAGATACTTCCTCTTTCCATAATAAAGATAAGTAATATTTGGCCATTTTCTTTGGCTGGGGCTTTACTCACTTTTATATGCTTAACAAAGCTATTTAAAACTAAAAGTCCTGTGATGAGAAATAAAACTGTTGCTTTCACACTTCCTTCCTTCTCACTGTGCAATTATTTTTTTTTCTGAACTCGTCCATTATAACTTCTTTATTCCTGCAAATATTTTCCCCTCTAAACATTTATATTTTTAATATGTGTTAGATATGCTCCAAACCTTCTTTCCAGGACTATCCTACAGCAACGCTCTGTTCTGTATGGTTTTGATGGGGTCATTGTAAGTTATCTTCAGTTCCAGATCCCTCTGGACTAGAATCAACATCAAGGAGGGCCTCTTTATTGGTGAAAGTTGAGCTGAGGGTTAGGCTCTGTCGAGGCTTCACAGGTGCAAGTTCATTTAATTTGATGTTCTCATTTCTGACTAGAATAGTCTTGTCCATGTTCTCTTCACTGTGCCTCGAGACGACGGCATCGAATACATCGAGTTTCGGAGGCAAGGTTCCACTTTCAAATAGGTATTTGGCTAGATAAGAAACGCAAATGTTGGTCAAGAATGAGGTAACCATAGAGAGTGTTTTAAAGGGGAATCTCTGATTGTATATACCATTCTTGTCAGAGTAATAACCAGGGTAGAAGATTAGGGGCTGCAAGTACAGATATGGCTCTCCTCCAGTGATTCTCAGGAAAAGTCCAAAAATGTAACCTGCAACAGCCCCGTAAGTGTTGGTTCCTTTGATGAAGAGGACACAGAGCAGCTGTGGGAAGATGATGATGTAGACGAGGTCAGAGCTCAGGTACCAGAGCCCATACACCGTCTTCGTCAGCAAGGCCATGGCTGTTGCAGATGCTCCAAACACAAACACCGTGATCCTCATGACCCACACAATTTCTTTGTCTGATGCCTGTGAGGAATCAGGGCAGGGTCAGCTTTGCAAACAATGTGCTGGCTCTTTAATTGATGAACAGGATAAATGTCTACGCTTTAAAAACTGATCTTATGCAGTCCCCCCCATCCCCAGGTTCAAAGCTGGTGTAATCTATGGCACTTGGGTACAAGGGCTTCTTGTACCATATGAATGAAGTGAGACTATGGAGCCTTTCTCTGAATGGACAGGCACAAACTGAGATGACCTAAGGTCAGATGTCACACATAAACTATGGCAAGGTAAGATCTCACTTACCCACATGAGGCACTGGGAGTATGACCACCTTTAAGGATTGTCTTTTGTAAGAGTCCTACCATTTTTAAAGATAACTAGTTTTTTGGTGCCTTAAACCAGGTACTTCTAGGGAATTCCCTTGGTGGTAAAACATCAAAGGGCCATTTTTTTTTCTACATTGCATTTGTATGTAAACACGTGTGTGTAAAGGCATATGCTATGCTGCTTATGAGGAGGTCAGAAGACAATTTACAAGAGTCAGTTCTGACTATTTGGGTTCCAGGGATGGAACTTGGGTCACCAAGCTTGGTGGCAAGCACATTCTCCCTACTGAGCCATCTCATTGGCTCCAGTGGACTTATTTTGCTGACTATGACCTAAGAAACCCGTTGAGAAGCCAAGCTTTATATGACAGAGGAACACTCTTGAGAGGGATTCATTATCCCCCAAGGACCACAGTAGCAAACTGTCCTAGAACCATTTGGCTCCATAAAGAAAATCAAATTGAAAGGCTACTGTGTGCTAGAGGTATCCTTCAGAATTCAAAGACCACAGCAGTTGTTACAAAAATAGTGTTAAGTAGCTCACCATGACTAATGGCTACCAGAACTCTCTAGGACCCTAGCATATTTAATCAGATTAAATGATTTTCTAAAATTTTTGAAGTTGTATTTTCTTTCACCAGAAAGACAAGAGGTTTAAGATATAGTAAAATGGCAATCTCTTATGAAATGGTTACACCAACATGTTCCCTTTAGTGTGAAAATAAACAATAGCATGCATTGCTATGATTCATTTACAGGATAAATAAATTCACTACATTTAAATATGTGTATTCAACCAAATATAAGGGCTGGATTGCAATATAGACTCAATGTGTATACACAGATTGAGTATCCTTTATCCAAAATGCCCGAGAGCTTAAGTGTTTTATATCCAGAGGGGTTTATTTTTATATTTTGTAATATTTGCATGTTCATAATGAGATACATTAGAAAGGAAACTCAAGTTTAAAACAGAAAACAATTTACATTTTATATATACCTTGTAGGTATGGGATGAAGGTAATTTTGTAAATGAAACAAGGTTTCATAGTATGGCACCTTCCACTTGTGACATCTAGCTGATTTTCAAAATGTTTGGGATTTGGGAACATTCCAAATTTGCCATTTCAGCTGATAGAGATTTAACTTGTTTTATATAAATATATAATATATATATATATATTATATTTGTTTATATATTATATATATATATATAATATGTATTACATCTAATGCAGTGGTAATGACAAAAAATAATAATGACAGATTAGAAGGCTGGTCTTACATTTTGTCTGAAGGAAAGCTGGTAGATATTCCGAGCAAACATGGAACTCGCAGATAGGATGGAAGAGTCGGCTGAGGACATCACAGCAGCAGAAACAGCCCCAAGCCCAAAGAAGGAAATGTACACAGGGCAGAGGTACTGCAGCACGATCGGGAGAATCATGTCTCCTTCCTCCTTGGTCTTGGGATCTGGAAACCCATACGCAGTCTGGTTCCAGTCTGTGGAGCAGAAACAACCATCACAACTGAGAGTCTCTGTGTCGTCTACTGAGGTGGGAAGTCCATATGCTGGTCATGTAAGATGTCTGACCTGCCTGGCTCCTGTGCATGTTGATAGCATTCAGGCTTAGTCACACCTGCTGGGCCCTGGCACGCAGATATTCTTTGTGTGCAGTGGGGCATACTTAGAATCACAGAAAACAAACTTTCCTAAACCAAACATTTCCTTTAGACCACTTGGAACTGAATGAATGCCTACAGTTCATTCTGTGAGGCCCAGGGACCTGTGCACACACAGAGATCACAGCAGATTTTTTTTTCCCACTCACCCTTTTCCTGAAGATACTGTAACAGCCTCTGAAGATAATGTAACAGCCTTGGAGCTGCTTTTGAGTTAATTTTCTCCCAAGTAATTCTATCTTACAGAGGGTTTTCTTTAGGGGGAAGGGGGCAGCTTCTTTTCATTCATGAGGCTCAGGTTTCTTGGAGGTCTTCAAATTTGGTCTAATAGAATGACTTAAAAATGTCAGGTTATATTTGAATACACTGCTTCCACTTTGTTATTTGTGTGTGTGTGTGTGTGTGTACATGTGTGCCCATGCATGTACAGCACTCAAGTCAGCTATAGCATACTAGTATGGAGGTCAAAAGACAATCTGTAGAAGTCAGTTCGCTCCTTCTACCATTGGTTCCAAGGATGGAACTTGGGTGACCAAGTTCAGTGTCAAGTGCCTTTACCCTTGGGCCATCTCACTGCCCCTGTGTTGTCTGGTTTGGTTGCAGCCTGTGTTGAAGAAGACAAGGGACTCGGATATGTACATTAGTTAGCTTCTTTGATACTTGGTGATCTTCCTTAACGTTGTAATGTCAGGACCAAGCCGTAGTGGGTTCCTTGGATGCTGCCATTCCCCCACTTCCCATTATAGTCATCATTAAAGCCATGGCCATATTCTAATAGGGCTAATGCTGCAACTGAGGGAGTTACTAAAGATCATTACCAAGAACATACACTAAATCCAAGAAAACAGTAGGCTGTATGCTGGTTTTGTTACCCTGCTTACACCTGCATAAACACACAGAGGAGGTGACTGAAGCAAATCATAGTTTCTTTTTACAGAAGCAGATACTGATGAGGACCTTCGCCAATGTTTTTATCATTTAGTTATTGTTTTATGTCATGTATGAATGTGGAAGGGGAAGATTATTATACAAATCATGACTTCTGTTTTAAAAATTAAAATCAAAATAAACCAAAATAATTCAATAAATGCCATTACTTTTATAAGAGACAACAGGGTGGATGGTGAACAAATTCAAATCTGTCTTAATTACCTCTGCTTAGAGAATGCTTCTCAATATGGGTTAATATTACATATTTTCATTCCATATGCTGAAAACTGCCTCCTAATCACACTTAAAACAGCCGTAACATAGTTCTGAAGTTCATAAAATGCTCTATTGACCACACATCTCAGCCTCTGCCATTATGCTTTTATGATCTTGTGTTTGTCCCTCCCCTGGGTCTTTGAAACCCCTATCCTCAAGGTGATGTTATTGATAGTAGGCAGGGAGATGTTTAGGATTCAAAGGTAGAACTCTCCTGACCATGGTCAGTGTCCTTACAGGGGCTCTTGCTTCCTCTTTCTACCATGGGAGAAACTTGAGAGACAGGAATGATTAAGTTCAAGAAAATTAAAGATAAGACTTCAGAAATGTTTCATAGAAGCCAACAGGGAAATAAACATTTTATATTGCTTTTTCTGTTGTCTTAGCATTTTGTTTATCTTTACCAATATATTTACTGTTTAGTTTCTGAAGGGAAAATAAATATCCCTCTGGGCGAGCCAACTATTGAAAAGGCTAAAATCTCAAGTTCACAGTGGTCCGTGGAGACCAAATATGATCAGGATTGTCTCCTAAGTCAGTGGCTTGCAATTTCTGCTTTTCTTTGTTTCACCGGGGGTCTGTAGAAAGTTTTCAGTGTCCGTTTTTACCATTTGTAGTTAGACGCACCATGGAGTAGCCAACAATGGAGTGGTATTTATAAGTCCCTCCCCATCCCTCAGGTTATGTACTACTGTGTGGATCACAGTTGATCTCCTGTTTGACAGAATACAGTTGCTGATACACCAAAGTTGGGTGTTTCCAAATGTTTCATCATTGAGTGAGCAACAAAAACCAAGTAGAGATCATGGAACTAGAATTCCATTTGCTGAATGATGTAACAAAGGCATAGTAGGGCCATGCAGAAAGAATTCATTTACTGTGCGGGGGTGGAGGGGGGGTGGGGGGTGGGGGGGTGGGGGGGTGGGGGGGAGGGAATGGGATGTGAGATAGAGAGAACAGCCTTTCGGGATTTGGGACACGCCCTTGCAAATGTGACAAGGTGCAGGAGGCTTACCTGTGGAGGCTCCAATGGCTCCTATGCATATGGCAGGTAGAGCCATCACCAGGCACCCAAACGCTGCGAGGAAGGACAGCACCTGAGCGTAGGTGGCTGAGGATGAAGACAGAACCCTCTGGAAGTAGGCTTGCCAAGGGATTCCACCCAGCATCTGCACGAGAACCCAGGGATTCAAAGTAAGCCAAATGAAGGAGGAGGCAAAGGAGAGGGTTCTCTTTTAGGAGCTTTGTAATACTGCATCCATCAACTGCATTTAGAATAGTTTTAGTAGAGTTGTGAAGTGTGGAACACACTCCACAGATGACAAACCCAACTGCTGCCACTGTGCTTGCTGAGTTGTGAAGTTTGGGCCACTTCCACATTTCTCAGGTTAAATTCTGGTCTTCTGGTTGAAGGAATCCGTGTCATTATTGCCTCTGGGTGAATTCATTGTATCATGAAAATGGAGTCAGCATGAATCTAGTTAGTATCCTTGTTAATAAAACAAAAGAGCAATAAAAAAGTGAAGGGAGGTTAATTGTCTTTTCTACTAAGTAAGGATATAGCAAAAATGTGTTGTCTATGAAGGACCAGCCCATACCAAGCACAGTCTGCCAGTGCCTCAGTTCTGGACTTTGGTTGGTTCCAAGCCATCCAAGTAATGGTAGCTTGTTAAAACAGCCAGAGAATATCAATGTGTGCCAATGGTGATTTTTTTTTTAAACACTGGAGTCCCTTTGTGACTATGCTAGCTGGTCTTGTCTTTTCCTTAATTTATCTGCTTTTAGTGCCTTAAAATTATACAGAAGTCTTCAGTTTATATTGGGATGGAAATCATGCAGCCCAATAATGTCTATAGACATTGAGCATGTTGTGGGCATAAGAGTGGAGTGGAAAGACACTGTTTTCACACTTCTCTGGGAGAATCAATGCACTGTGGCATTTTACTAAGAGGAGTGTACACAAAGCTCAATGATGCATTAAAGGGAGTATCAGAAATTTTGTCTATATTCATTTTTACTGAATACCTTACTGTGATGTGGTTTTTCAATTAAATGACATATATGTTAGCACAGAGTTTGTAAACAATTGGCAAATGTTCATAGGTACACCAGAAGTATGCTGAAAATTTTCACTGAAGACATAAAATCAAAAAGATTGGTGGCATTAAATTGCAGTATAATTGGCTACAAGACATCTGCATGGAAACAAAACTGAGAAACAATTATTTGGGGGTTGAGAGATAAGGAGATAAGTGGATGCCTACATATTGATGAGGAAAGCCTACAGAAATGACATCTGAGTTGGACCTTTAAGAAGATGAAAGTCCCTTGAAGAGATGTTAATATGAAAAAGAGTAAAAACACCATGATATCCAGGTACTGTGAGACCATTGCATACATCATCATGATACCCAAGCAGCTGTGGGACCACTGCACACATTACCATGATACCCAGGCAGCTGTGGGACCACTGCATACACCATCATGATACCCAGGAGATTCTATTGCTCTGCTTTAATTCCTAGCTCAGCACAAGGTTGATAGTCAACAAGATGCCTGCTTCTGCCTTTCATCATTCCATGGAACTATAAACACACTGGCAGGCAGTGTCATTTCACTTCTCACTCTTTATATTTATAAATATAAAGTACACCAGGAAAAAGAAAGCAAAGGAGTTATCTTCACAATTTTTAGGAGGGAAGCCACTATTGGGAACATAATTTTCCCCAAGTTTTCCTGCCTTTTATTGGGAAATTCTTACTGGGAAAAATGCACCCACTCTGAGGGTTGAGAAATTGCTAGTACTTAGCAAAGTGTCACACACATAAACTTATAAAATATTATCCATTCTCTAAAGAAGAAATAAAAATAACCAGTTTCCCCTTCACTGTGCTACAAGAAGTAACCAGATACTAGTCAGATTCGATGTGTTATTTTCATATATAATCTCTTTAGTTAGCAGAGGCATAAAATCTGGTAGAGTTTGCATAGTTTTCCACCCTTCCTTAGCATGCACTCTGCCACAATTTCCCCCATGCCCTTCTCTGATAGGGCTGTCACACCAGGGTTCTATGTGTTTTAAGCCACCTCTACTTCTTGAGGACTCCTCTTTTGGAGCAACTCCCTAGTGATGCTTCCCAACTTACCTCATGCACTGAGTGCCTAGACATGAGGCTCCAGCCTTGCAAGACAGGAGTCAATTCAGATATGGCATGAATCAGCAGGTGAAGCTTTAAGTATACATGTGAAAAATCCTAAAAATGTCTTTGATTTTATGAACAATGAGACCACATTTCTCAGATCACAGTGTCACTTACCAACAACAGAAAATTATCAAGCCAGGTGTAGACTTCAATTGGTTCAATGGTTCCCAGCCAAGGACTCTGGTATTTGGTGTGTACAGCAGTGAATCCAATGTCGGTGACTGCAGGATGTGACAGGGCAAAGGGCACACTGATCCACTGAAACAAAGAGTGACATTGGAGCATTAGCTATGAACTTAACTGTCCTAGATATGCACAAGTCATGTTCCTAGTTCATCTTTCTCAGAACTGGCACAGCTTGATAGTTTCTCTTTCTCAGACAGAGAAGGATCTAAAATTATGTTCTCTATAAAATGCCATGAAACAGGGGTTTAGAAAAACATGAAAAAAACCACATTGACTACTCATGTGTTTGACGATATCGGATCATATAAATCATAGAAGCAGTCAGCTGAATCTTTAGGGGAAAAAAGCACACACACACACACACACACACACACACACACACACACACACACTTTAGTTTTCTGTGAATTGGTCAAAGATATACATCCATTAATATGATAGGGAAAGAGGTGATTGAAAGATGTGCCACACATTGGTAGAAAGGGACAGAGTTGAAGGCGTCAGGGGGAAATGAGATAAGAAGTGTCCACACACTATTCAACTTATGGCAGGCTTTGTGGAGTGAAACCACTGTGAGCCAAAAATGCTTTTAACCCACAAGACCTACCAAACACTACTGCTCAGCAATAAAGAACACTGAAATATGTTGGTTGTTTCCCTGTGTGGTTGTGTGGTGGACTTGGAACTGCAGTTTTCTGTAACTGCTGAGAATCAGAGAGGGTTGAGCTGAGTTTTTCAAGTGCAGGAAAAGAGGCAATTTCAAACTTCAAATAGTGTTTTCTTTTGATTGTGCTTGGCTTTTGGACCATTGTAAAGTCAAATATCCTAAATGGAAATATCAATTAAAGTATCATTTACATATGGTGTGTGTGTGTGTGTGTGTGTGTGTGTGTGTGTGTGTGTGTGTGTGTGTGTGTTTGTGTGTTTGTGTTCAGATTTGTTGGGCAACAAGGTTTGCTTGTAGAGGGGTGGCTTCTGGAAATTAGAGACAAAGATAGACTCAAGAAGAAAACCCTGAGTTTCAAGCTAAAGGATTTTAATTTTGTTTTGTAGGTAACTGGAAGATCGAGGACATTCTCTAAAGCTTGACAAATATTTAGATGTAATGTCATGGATATTAACATGCGTTTCAACACAGAAACAAATAGGAGTGCCACAAGTGGTCTCTTCTACCTCCTGACAAAGGTCTGAAGGCCAACAGAGACACTGGCAATTGAAAGATGTTAGTAAGAACAGGGAGGTAGAGTCAACAGCCTCTGAGTTAGAACAGGGAACAGAAGCCAGAAAGGGAAAACTAAGTGAACCAAGTGTTCAGTTTCAGATCTCCAAGGATGATTACAAAACCCACAGAATCATGGAGTATGAGAAGGTATGGTTAAAGTATAAACTGATTATATATGCTTGTATAGGAATTAAAGCGGGAAAATAAACTATATTTAGACAGACAATTCTATAGTGCTTTAATTAAGAAACCCATAAGTATATAGTATTCTTTACTGAATAAAACACACATGATCTTGTTTAACCAAGGAATAAAAAGACTAGTTAACCCCCCATAACTTATCCACTTAGTTATGCCTTATGGCCAAAAAATTTCCAACATATATCCCTACATAGGTTTGCCCTTCCACTCCTACACCAACACACTTGACTCATGAGTCTGTATGGCTTAAGATCTGGTCTCATGCAAAGCAATGAGGCAGGATATATATCATTGGTAGACAGATTCATCCCCTGGGGTTGGGCTTCTTGAGATAACAAGTGCATCAATTATGAGAGCTGCCATCACCGCACTGACCTCGCCTCTGACACTCCTGGAGAACCGATTTTGTGTTCTCTGCTTTGTTTATGGATGGTTATAATGATGCTGAGTAAAAACCGGAATTCTGCACATCCACTTAATTTGGGCAATTTAAAAATAAGGAGTGGGAATTCCTGAGCAAATTAAATTTTCCTCAAATTTAATTTTACAATGTGTGAATGGCACTTTATAACACAAACAGTGTCTAGGAGATGAATGAGAAATGCAGGTTTTGTGACTAGATGGGAATTAATATTTACTGTGTAAGTCAGATTGCAGTCAATGGATTCCTCTGGGACATTGTTATTGATGATACAAAGTTACAATAAGAAGTTATAAGAGTCATTTTTTCATCTCCAAACATGGAGGGTAAAAACTAAAATGATCAGTAGAGATTTTTACTATAAGAAAAATAAATAACAGAGAAGAAAATGGGGATATTTTGATCCTGATTGGGAAAGTGAGTACATATGCTTTCTCTGTGGCTCTGTATAAGGACAGTTGACATGATGCTTGTATTTAATGAGACTGTGCACATGGACCCATATCAGCCCATGACATAGAATGAGCACACATTTGTATTTATTCTTCTTCTATATGAATTAGGTGTTGTATACTATCTTAAATGTAATTGTTATTTTGCATTTTAAGGTTTGAGGATGCAAAGTGTCAAAAGTAGACTAGAATGTATTTAACATGCCCAGAGTGCTTTCACTGTCGTCCTGATATTACTCATGGTGATTGTATTCTTTACCTAATAAGAGGAGTGTGATCTGATTTACCTAGAAATACTAGAAATAGTAAATCTTGCTAATCCCTTATGTAAGTAATCCCCTCATTTTTAGATCCCTGCCATAGCTTCCATGTCCTGCCAGTCACCCTATAGTAACTAATAGAAGATGAGGAGAAGTGTTTTGTCCACATTACCACTGAATTAATTTTGCTCATGAGAAGAAAGTGTTGCCGCTGAATACCAAAGAGGGTCACTAGTAAATCTGATCCAAACTAATAGGGGTGGAAAGCAGGACACAGATATTTGTAGCAGTTAGAGTTAGGGCATCCCTTTCTGTCAAACACTAACAAAAATAAGCAGGGCTTTTGATTTAGCCAGTTCATAGAGAAAAAAGTTAGTATTTCAAATAATATTAAATCTACTGTGTATTTTTCATGATGGAAAATTATATATCCACTGATTTTTTTCTGATTTACAATAAATATTATTTTTAAGCAGGAAATAAGGCACGCAGGGAGGGAGGGAAGGAGGAAGGGAGGGAAGAAAGGAGGGAGGGAGAAAGGGAGGAGAGGAGGGAGGGGGAAAGGGAGGAGAGGAGGGAGGGAGAAAGGGAGGAGAGGAGGGAGGGAGAAAGGGAGGAGAGGAGGGAGGGAGTGAGAGAGAGAGGGGGAGGGAGGGAGAGAGAGAGGGGGAGGGAGGGAGAGAGGAAGGAGATAAAATATGAGGGTGGTGTCACTTACCAGTCCTATAAAGATGCAGAAGAGTTGCACAACATCAGTATACGCCACAGAGTAGAGCCCGCCCACCAGGGTGTAAAGAATGGCAATGAGTGCAGAGACGATGACCGATGCGTTCACATCCACATCAATGATCACGCTGATGGTGGCTCCTAGAAGGAAATGACCGGGCATCTCAGTGGTCAAGGAACACACGTGATTCTGCCTCCAAAGTGAAGTCACAGCAGATATGTCCCAGGGGCTTGTAAGGTGCACAGGATGACACCAGTGGAAAAGAACTGTTGTACGGAAATTTTTAAGCCTTAGTAAATCAAGTGTATCTCTCTACACACAGCAGGATACACTTGGAGTTGGTGTTTTGCTAGTTAATCTATGTAAGGCATATCTAAAACACATGACAACTGAACAACTAGAAATATGGATAAATACAACTCCATTCTCAGAACTTGCAATGCTTTGACTGTATGAAATTCTGACTTACTTAAACATGTACAGCAGACCTCCTTACATCCATGAGAAGTCTTTCTGAGAGGCATGCGCACCCTTTTCTGTAATTTACAGTCAATTCTTATTTCTATTTTGCCTTCTGCTAGCCCACAACAACAGACAAACCCTACAAGATGCCAAAGAACTCGGCCAAATTTATAGGACAAAATAATAAAGTTGGTAAGTGGAATTACCATTTCTTTTCTTTCTCAAAGTCTCCAGAGATCTCTTTAAATTGTTTAGTTGGTAAATATGTGCCTTCTACTCAGAACATACTGAGAATCTTGGCTTTGAAAAATCATAGTTTAGGGACTGGAGAGATGGATCAGGGGTTAAGAGCACATTTTGCTCTTACAGAGGACCCTGGTTCAGTTCCCAGCACCCAAATGGTGGCTCACAACCATCCATAACTAAAGGTCCAGGAGATCTGGCACTCTCTTCTGACTTTCATCAGCACCAGGCACACAGTGCACATACATACATACATTCCGGAAAAAATATTCAAACACACAAAATAAACAAATCTAAAATAAAAAAGAGAAAACTCATAGTTTTAGTAGCTTTCATCTTCAATATTTTTGCTTTCTTGCCTTATGGCATTGTTTGTTGGTGCCTGTCTTTCCACTGAGAATTTTATGAATGGGCAGTTTGGAACACTGCTGGCTCTTCCTATTCCTTAACAGGAAAGCTCATAGTGTATACCAAATACCAGGGAGAAGCATGCATTATTTAAAGAGCAACTCAGGCTGTTCTAAAACAGCAATAGAAAATACTTTAAGCTTTGACCATGCTAATAGAACAATTTTCTTGAGTAAAAAGAGCAATATAATAAAGACCTATTACTCAAGTACAAAAGAGGTCAATTATTTATTAGTGCTTTTAACAAATGGTGGAAATATTGTATGGACATTTAATGGGGTGTGTTTTCTTTTTCTGAAGTTTGTTTTCCATGTTGGAATTTTTATTGCAAATCTCTGTCATTCTTTTGGTGAAGTTTTCTGCTTTCATAACATTTCCAAGTTATAATGCCATAATTATAAGCAATTTAATCACAGGCAAAGTGATTAACTAGTCTTTGGAGATGCTACTTTGGTTGCAACTTATTGACTTTAGAGCAGTCATCTGACTTTCTATCAAAACTATATTTGGGTTGATTTTTTCTCTGAAAATATTTTCTATATGATTACATTAATTGTAGTGAGGAAAAACTGCATCTACCAACCTGTTGGTGTAAAGTTATGAAACAAATTGTTGAATTTAGCTACTAGAAATACAAGCATACATTTCATTCAAGCATCCTAAGGTGTTATCAACAGTTTTGATTCATTCCTGACTCAAAATTATGATGAGCCGGGCAGTGGTTGTGTACACCTTTAATCCCAGCACTCGGGAGGCAGAGGCAGGCAGATCTCTGTGGGTTTGAGGCCAGCCTGTCTACAGAGTGAGATCCAGGACAGGCACCAAAACTACACAGAGAAACCTTGTCTCATAAAACAAACAAACAAACAAACAAAATTATAATCAGACATAGCCTGGCAGCACCAGGCTCGTATTAACTGGTATTGACTGGTATTGGCTGGTATCCCAGTGGAGTATGATTCAGCAATTTAATGTCAAATCAGAGGACACAGTAAGCAAGGAAGAAGATGTAGCAGAAGTCACATGATTCAGAGAACTTTCACAATGTCAGTGTTACCCATCCAGTGACTGATGCACTGTTCCATGAGGCCACAAGTCTTGCTTAATGTAGTAAACAGAACGTGAGAAGGATAAATGCTTGGGTCATGTCTGGAAGAGGTTATTTAGGAAAGAAAAGTGAGTGAATACCAGACAAAGGAGTGACGGTATAGGTGAAACCTGTGAATGCAACCATCCTCAAGGGGTTCTGTGGAGCTACTTACACCTGGTATGTACAGTGAGAATGATCTCTTTGATAGCTATATTACCTTAAATAAATGTTTATTGTAATTACAGAGAAAAGATTCTCCTATGTTTTCATTCCCCATGCCCATTCATAGTGAGGTGGAAATGAATACAGATAGAGTTTATATTTGTTCTTAAGTGTCCCAAGATTATTTCTTGCAAACACTACTTTTGAAATATAGCCAGCAATTATACCTAAAGAACAGAGGCAATAACTTTATAATACACATACACTGCTAGAATGTAGATTTCTACCAAGGACAGTAGCATATGTATATTTGTTGCTTATAGTGCGTGTGTGTGTGTGTGTGTGTGTGTGTGTGTGTGTGTGTGTGTGTCTATCTGTTACTTCATATGTGTGTCTCTAAAGAGAGACTGTTAACATGTTTTCATACATCCTGAAATATATATATATATATATATATATATATATATATATATATACATAGACAAACATCTATCTAATTATATCTAATTACAGAGTTTATCTGCTGTTGTTTTGTATTTGTAAAATGCCATAGAAACTCCAGCTCATTAATTCTATTTACCTTTCGGGACTGTTGTTCAGGATCTCTATTCAGCCAGAGTGAGCATTTTGTATTCTGTTGTTCAGCCCACTCTTTCCTGTCATACCTCAGCAGGTAGGCTGTTCTTAAACCCCAAATTTCTAATGCCAAAACCCGTGGCAAACAAAATTCCCTTGTTTCTCAGCTAATGAGAGTGAGGTTGTGGGGACTGTTCTTTTTATACATTATGTCATTAGACTTTAAGTCGTCCAGCACAGGGGAGTGACATTTTTCACCAGGTTATTGGTGTATTTTATGAACTAGCAAACTGCCTTCCTTTTCTCACTATTACTTCTTTCCTTCCATAGTTAGAGATCAAGAACATGACCTCATATCATATAGGCATTTGAGAGGGTAGGGCGACAAAGTAGGTGTGAACTAATCTCAGATAGTACAGAGGCTATCTATATAAGATAATACTGGAACCAGGAGACAAATTTGCGGTCTGGCATATGTAACACAGAAGGAAATTTCTTTTGCTCTAACCACCTAGCACCTGGCTATAGACTTAAGCCTTTCCCTTTCATTTGGAGAAGAGATGGTAATCCTGTGTAGGAGAGTGCCCGGGGCGTGGCCACCTTGCCCATTGAAGAGGGCTGTGGGGGTCCAGCTCTGCAGCTGCTCACTAGCTCCACACTCAGTGGGTTGGGACAGGCCTGTCTTTGATCTAAAGGCAGTGGACTGAGACTGAAGATCTTCCATAATCCCACTGAAAACACAGGAGAGAGTCCAAAGTCCTGGCAACTGGATTTGTAAATTGTCAGAGGCAAGATGGAAGGGTCACCATTGAGGAGGAGAAATTGTAGAGGGGCATGATGAGGAAGAAGCAAAGGCTCTGTCATGTCTATAGATTCTGTTGAAAATATTGGTTTTAAAAGAAAAGAGGGTGATGAAGCTTGAATTTCGAAAGAGTTGGCTACCAGAGGAGAGCAGAACTGTAAGCAGGGAGATCTCTGCACTGACTCCAATCAGGAAGGTCTGGCTGAGGCAGGGAGGAGGGACAGGTGGACAGAGATGAGGAAGGTGATTGACAACCAGGAGAGGGACTGAACAGTTAAGAATGGTCCGAGAGCTGAGGTGAGACTGTCAGAATGCAGGTAATGCGGCACACAGCTTCTCCAGGGTGTGTGTCTCCAGCTGCCTCAACAGCCTTTGGCTGTCCACATTTTAGCAACCGGCTGTGCTTGTTTTCACCTCTAAATCTGCATCTCCAAGAGTAGACTGGGGCGAAGAGAAGCTGGGGACTGAAAACTTCATAAGTTAAACAAAAAGCACTTAAACTTGTCAGAGAATCCTTGCTGTGTCCTCTCATCCTCAGTTTTACCATTAATTGACCATAGTATTATGCTTCCACAAAAATTTATGTTGACGTGTCAAGTTAGATGGCTCTGCTTGAATGCCTGTCAGTTCTGTCCACAGGCCATGAGATTCCATTTCTCTGCAAATGTTATTTACTTTTTATTTATTTAAGACCAAGGATTCCTCTTAATCTTTGGCTCATGAACATTTTTTTAAAAGTTCTGGTTCAAACTGTACCTTTTAATTGTGCTTAATTAACTTAATTAAGTTGTGCTTAATTGTGTTCTAAATCTAAGTGTCATACAAAAGCAACTCCTGAACTTTATAACTCATGGCCACACTGTAATGATGGGAATCAGGTTCAAGACAAATGAAGCCAAGATTAGTTTTACCTCTACAGCTGTGCTTTCCTAAGTACAGAATTTCTATTGAGAGTTAATAAGATTAAATATGGATCTGGGCAGGATTTTAAAGATTTTTTTATGAGGCAAACTCTACATTCAGGAATTGGAGACCCAGTAGAACCATCTTCTTCAATCCTTACCTAACGCAGAGAAAATTGCTGCAGCCCAGAACATCTCTCCCATCAGTGCAGGAATGAACAGCAGCCCACCCATGCGCTTTCCGTAGATCTGCTGAAACGGGTCTAACATGGTCACATATCCCTTGGAACGCATAGGTTTTGCAAAGAACAGACCGCCTGAAACAAACAAGCTCTTGTGAAAAGAAAGTCACAATAGATAGCTTTTTATTATGTATCTTCCCCCCCTCGACGCCCCAGGAAAGTGAATCTTTAAGATATCCATATGCACTAAGAAACCTATTTTACATGTCCTACCAAGAAATATTTAGCAACCTAATGTAAATTCCTTAGTACATCTAACACTGCTGTGTCCAATGGGCAACTGGATAACATAAATGAAGCATGTGAATTGAAAGACATGGACCAGGTCACTGTGCATTAAAATACTTTGATGCATTTGTGTCACACAATCCAACATTTAGACACTTTGAGTAAGCACAAAATCCAATAAAAGCATTTTTGTATAGCAGGCACTCTCTTAAATAATATTCAAACTTTTAAGTAGTTTCACTTACCAAAAGGAACAAAGGGGGAATGGGGTTGATTAGGTTTTAATGATACATACATACTCTTTTTTGAAAGAAATAAATCACAGTTGTTTAAGAAATTCACTGTTCTAGTGGCCACAAGATCAAAGAAATTTTCACACAATCAGGAGATTAAGCATCAGTGTTGCTACATAACAATTTCTGGTAATTGCTGCTTAGAAATTTTCTCCACAATAGTTGTTCACGTCATTTGACTTATTATTTGTACTTTATGCTGAGTACCGAATGAGTCACTGGGATCTCAACACCCACTTACCTAAAATCAGACTCAGAGAATATCCAATGGGTGCCTGAGCCCATGCTAGACCACAGCCCGGTCCATAAACTGCTTCAGCTGTCCCATTGATGTAACCTCCTCCAACCCAGGTGGCTGAAATGGAACAAACAATGGGGTTATAACACTCTCCTCACCTGCTGTGCCCTGAGCCTAACTGTCCAACACAGTGGCCACTGGCTTCATGTGTCCATAAACTATTCCGTTAGATGTGGGCTTTTTCTTTCGGATATATAAAACTTCTGTACACAATTACTGAATGAAAGCAGTTAAAGAACTAAAGAAAACAGTCTTTGACTAAGCTAACTCAAGCCAAAACTGACTGACAAGCTAGTACTTTTCCTCATGATAACAAATATGATTCATTTTTTATTATAATACTTTATTAATTCTTTGAGAATTACATATAATACATTTTTGTCATATTCAGCCCTAATACCCTCCCCTAATGCTTCTCAGACCCATAATACTTTGTTCTTTCTGGACAGAACAAAGTTAACAGATCTCTAAGGTTTTGTAGTTTATGTACTTCTAAGAGCATAACAGAAAGATTCACAGTGATCAATGTGCACAGTGTATGTGGGGTGATGAAAGTCCCAGGCTCTTAATACTCTTATCAGACAGGAGACTGAATCATCCCATTAAGAATGCAACATAAAAGAATACATCTCTATGTATAAAAACCTTGTCTATACCACTAGGATGTGATTGGCTGTTTTCATGCCAGAATTTGTTCCTCTTTTAATCCAACAGGCAAAGAAGAATGTGCTAGAATTAACATTATTTAAATGTGTGTGTGTGTGTATGTGTGTGTGTGTGTGTGTGTGTAACAACAATTAAAGAAAAAAGAAGCCATGCATTTGAAAGAGAACAAGGAAGGGGGCATGGGAATGTTTGGAGTGAGGAAAGTGGAAGGGAGAAATGATATAATCGGATAATTGTAATACAATCTCAAAAATAAGAGAAAAAAACATTAACTTAGAAGACTTTCCTGATTAGAAATTTTAGGCACATTTAATGTGAAATGTAGGTACTAAATCCTGAAGGGAGCAGGAAATGTGTAGCAGCCACTCCCTTCTTCACACAAGCTTTTCACACCTGGTGTGCATACAACTACGTGCTGCCATTCATTGATGTTCTCATTCTAAATTCTGTTGAAATTTTAGAATTTTTCTGCTCTATCCAGCACACGGAGTAACAAGGAGCAGAAGAAATCTGTGTTTACAAGGTTCAGAACCTGAGACTTCATCTTCAAGCTAAGATGGCTGAAAGCAATACCTTGGCGCAGAATGAAGATGGCTCCAAGATCTTAGGAGCACAAAGCTTGTTAGCAATTGCTTTTCACTGTGTGGCATCGCAGTCCCTCTCCTAAAATCAAATCTGTGCCTGAGTGATTTCATTTATTATGATATAAAACTAAAAACTTGGTCACTTACCATAATTAAAGTCTTGCCATTTTTTATTGGTTTAGTAATTTCTCAGCCACAATTTGTTCCCCACATTTACATATATTTGTGTCAAATAGAGAGCAAGAACACGACTTCTTTTAAACTATATATTTTTAAGGAATCTACACATTCACTCTCAATTTCTTATGAAATGCATGCAAGCAGCCTGAATCTGGTGAGGCTCAAATAATATGGTTCAAATTTTAAATGAGTGGTCATTATTGATTAATAGTCTTCTGAGCTTGGAGAAAGAACTGTTAACACGTTAGCTAGACTATGATAACACTTTATAAGAAACAGCCTCATTTGACTATTTTTACATACTTTAATGGTGTGCCATATTTTTAAGAAATTGCATATGATGAAAGAACAAATTCTGCAACATTGTATGACTATATGAAATAGATTATTATAGAGTAGTAGAATGGTATAATAATCAGCAGTGAATAAAATGCTTAGACATTCAACAGCTCATTTATTCTTATGATTTTTGGAAACAAAGTGCTTTTCTAAATAGCCATAGCACACCAGTGAGAGAGCTGCACACAGCACAGCATGGAGATCTTGAGTGTAGTCAGCTTGGCCCTGATCTTCGCTAACTAATCAACTCTGGAGATTCCCTTAACTCTGAAACCCTTTCACAGGGTCTGCTGTACAGAGCACATGAATCCGTCTATAGCTGTTGAGTGAATGCCTGAATTCATAAAGGAAATACTTGACAGATAAAAATCTACAATCCATATAGGATAGTGTTTATTTCAGATAGCCAAAATGAAAACGTTCAGAACATGGAGACCACCTTATGGGATAGTTATGTCCCTAGATGACACACAGGGTAAACTGTCTTTAAATAGCCTTCTGCACAGAAATGGATATTTTATTTGGTTATGATTTCTAGTAAGATATTTTTTTCTAATGAGATGTCAAGAGTTCCAGCTAGAATAGATTATGGTCACAGGTGTTAAATATTCACTAAGCAAGGCTCAGACCTAAGGGTTACCAATCATCTACAAGACATAAGTTTATACTGTTTTCTGAATTATTTTCAGTGACCAAGACAAATACAAAAAACTAAAGAAATCACTCTGAGTTCAAAGGAAGAAAGATCAAGGCCCCTCCTAACACAAAGAAAATTATAAAGGAAGAGAAATGCAGATGCTGGCCTGCGGATTTCTTTGGGTACACACCCTGACTTTTCCCTTTCTATACCAAGGATCAGGAAAGCTTCCTTTTAGTGTTGTAGGCTGCTTCCTTTAAGGGAAATGGTTATTAAGTGAAAAGGTAGGCATCTGACAGGCATTAATTAGGTTGGAATTGTAGTACCTCTAAAATAATTTACTCAGGCTAAAAAGTTCAACTAGTTAGTATTCATTTATCGTTTAAGAAAACTCAGTCACAAGCCCATGCTTGTATTAATGGATGCATTGAGACACCATGACGTTAAACCACAGATTCACAACTTGAAAGACTATGACTCTGCATTCCTGCACCCCTTTGTTTTTACAGTTCCCACCCACTGACCAGTTAAGAGACTATTTGTTTCGCTAGTATTTAGTCCAGTGATTTATTGTTAAATTCATTTTTCATCAAGTACTATTAAAGTTAAACCTTTTTCTTTCAAATTAAATACAAAATTACTTTAAACTATAGTCATCGTGGGCTGAAAGAACTCCAAAGGACAAAGAGCAATGTTTGCTTTCTCACTCAGAGCACAAGCCAGCAGGAGAAGCAAGCATGGGATCACCTACCTGTCATGGTAAAGCCACCAACCAACAAACCAATGTCTCGACCCCCGACTATGATGGCTTCGCTGCGCTCTTCTGCATTGCCGCTGTTTTTGGTTTTCCAGGCAGCCCATATTCCAACCAGAAATATAAGGAGGTAGAACAGGATGATTGCCACCAGTCCTTCTACATGGAAAGCCATTTTTATTTAAGGTAATGTGCAGGTCCTTCCACAGTAGGTTACTTCATCAAGCCTTCTGTAGAGAATACAGCAATGCATTATTAAGCAGCCAAGCACTATGCCTACACAGGCTGCCAAGAATAAGCAGCTGGCTCCAGACATCCCTTAAAAAAAAAAAAAAAAAGCCTGCATTGAAATTCCCGTGAAACTAGTCATGGCCAACAAGTGTCCACTACACTGATCTGCTTCTACTGAATAAGTTAATGCTTCGAATTTTGAAGAAACAGGGAAAAAAAAAAGGAATGAACATAAACACAATTATAATAATTTTTGTATTTTATAAGTTCTTTCAAGTTAAAATTAAGTCTGATTTGTATTATAACTCCTTCTGTCAAGAGATCATTTGCTATTATTCCTGTATTTGCCATTTGAAACTAAGTCGATATTTCATAACTGTTTATTAATTTAAATGTATCCTAAAGGAATACTCTAATAACGTGTGTGTGTGTGTGTGTGTGTGTGTGTGTGTGTGTGTGTGTGTGTGTTCATTATTCATCCGCTACTTATCCTTTCAGACGACTTCAGGAAACAGGTCCAAAAGTAACCCAATATGCTGGGGGTGGGGCAGGGTGGTACTAGGAAAATTTATTTAAAATGCATCAGCTGTGGTTTAATTTACTAAGTATGTGTTCGTTGTTTAAATGAATGACCCTCGGCTCTCTCAATCTTCCTTTGTCCTCAGTTCATATCATGCCCCACCCCACCCCCCTACCCCCGGCCGCCCCTTCCTGGTCTCTATGAGAAAAGGATTTAAAATAAGGTAATGTCTAAACCACAGTCACGGATAGGAAGAGCGAAGAGGCAAGCGAAGAGGACTGGTGTCAAGTTCTAAATTAAAGATTCATCTTATGGAATTCTTGTTCTTTCATTCCGCGCTCTACCTGGGATATTTCCTGCACCCAGTTCCCACGCTTAAGTTTCTGTGGGAGCCTGCGCTTTGCAAGTGGGTGATGAGGCACTGGATGCAAGCCCTCACCTCCAGGATACAAGGGAGCTGGGACCCCGAGGACTCTGCCTTTGTGAGCGCAGAGCCACCAAATTCCCCCTCCACCCAAACTCCCAGGCGCTCAGCTGCCCTGGACCCCGCGCCCCGGCTCTCCAGAACCCAGAGTCTGCAGCCTCTGGCAGCCCCAGAGCCACAAGTGCCTTTCAGCTGAGCAGAGGGTGCATCCCCACCAGGCAGAGTCCGTCCCTCCTCTCAGGCCCCCGAGGGCGCGGCCACAGCTCTTATTCTGGGCTCTTACCTGGGCGTCACCCGGAGCTGCTCTGGGGGTCCGGGCGCCCCCTGATCCCGCGGCTGTGCGGGGCAGCGAGGTTGGGAGGTTCAGGGTGAGTGGAGGGGGTCGATGGGGAGCCCGGCGAGGGCTGCGAGGGGCAAGGAGTATTGGGAAAAGTCTCTATATAAGCGTGGCGGGCGGGGGCGATCGTCAGAGCTCTGGAGACGGACGTCAGAGCAAAGTGGTGCTGGGCGGGAGCTGCGGACTGTGCCTTAGCGTGGCGCCGGTGCAAGGGAGATGCCTGGCTCAAAGCCAGCACTTGCCCAAGTCAAGTCACCTGCTCCTCTAAAATGGAGGGCTCCAGACCCTAAGGTCGTTACCAAGTCTAATTGCCCACTTTTTCTATCCCCCTGGGGTGCAAAAGACAGCGATGGACTCAGAGGATTTCACCTGGAGATAGAGGGGAGGCTTCTCAGACCCGCCTTCAGGTGTCTCCAGGAAAGCTCTGTCTGGGCAGTTGACCCCCGCCCCTCCCCCTGTCTTATGTGGGCCTCAGTGGGGGTGATTTCAAGCCCTTGTTGATGGGCTTCACATAGAGGACTTGTTCAGAAGATTTAGACTAGACAGTGCTTTCCCTTTTCTTTTATATCCATACTCCCTTCACTTAAAAAGTGGGTTACAACAAAAGTCTCTCACAGTTGCATAGTTGTTTAAAACAAAGTTGCTGTGTATACCCTGGAAACATCGTTTCCAGCCAAGGAAGCCAGGTGCATCTTTGCTTAAATATTATATTCTAGTTTTACAAAAGCACTCAGCCTATCACTTCAAACACATCTACAGCGTTAGTGCACACCTATATATCCGGTATTTTGTGACTGGATTGCTTATATGTCTGTTGTACCTGTCTGTAGACGGCTTTATCTTGTAACAGCTGCACATATTGTAGACAGAGATAGCTGCACATCATTTTAAGTGTATGCGTGTTGCAGGAGGGTTGTTATGGAGAGGGTATGAGAAAAAGAATAAAACACTGAAAGCCACAAAGTCTCAGCCCTGGGGCCACGTTCTCACTTCTTTCTACATCCCACCAAGCCAGTCTATTAAACAGTGAAACAGTGCATATGATAGTTAATGGGGTGAACTCAATACTTAGCTGCTATCCACCTCTCTAGGCCAAGCTGCAGATCAGCAACCATCCTAGACTGGATTTAGAAAAGGCCTTTCAGATGTACATATCCCCTGTTCCTTTGTTCTCTGTGTAAACAATAACTTCCCCCAGCTGCCTTACCTAGGTGAGGAGGTTCAATGGAATCCAGACAGTAATGAGGGCAGGGCAGAGGCCTATGTCAACAGTTGTCACAGCTAAGGTTGATGGTCAGCTGACTGAGTTTCTGGAACAGACATCATTTGAGCTCAGAAAGGGCATTTTGAAACATTTTAAAGGAACTGTCGGAAGACAGATGTGCAGTTTCATATAACCACTCAGTGTTTTTATGTGAGATCCATTCATTCATTTGTTGTTTTATTTTTGATAGATACAAATCAATTTCTGATTTTGGACTTAGGCCACAGATTATTCCACAGTTTTCCTTCTGGAATGTTCTTTAAGGCAATGGCACAAATAGTTCAGCTGCAGCAGGGCAGGCATCAGGAATTCAGTGCCAGTTCATGGGACGTAAGTTCAGAGAGTGTGACTCAGGCCCAGAGAGACAGGAAAAGTAGCTGTCCTCAGAGAACATCACCAGGGCTTAGGGATAAGAATCTGGAGTGCAGCCAGGGCTCACACTCCAGGGGAGGTGGGGCTAGGGGGACCTAATTAACTTTGAGAAGCCAGGCATGCCAGGATCTAGACTGACTGGCAGATCTCAGTAGTGACAGTGACCTTGAAAGTGGGGGGAAAAAAGCCTGGAAGAGAAACTGTCCTTCATGACGAAGAGCACCAGTTGAAAATGACAACTACTGATGTATTGAGTCTAGCTAGCTCTGGGCAGACATGTCCTCATCTCCCCAGTCCGGTGAGCAACATTGTCTGACCAGAGAGTGATGTTGCACATGTATTTCTGTTGAAGCATTTTCTTCATGACACACATTTGTCTTTTGTTTTCACTGTATACCTCTTCACTACTTTCCTGAGAGTATGTGTTCATACCTGGAGCAAGGGAATTACATGCCCGTGCGAGATCAATTAGGAGCTGGAAAGCAGTTTTGCATTGCAAATCATTTATTTAGTTATCATACGTTTCCTATGTACCTTTTACACTCCAAACAGTGTTCTAAGAACTGAGAATATATGTAGCAAATGATATATGGTGCCCTGCCCTAAAAACCTTCTTGTCCTTAACAGGAAAATAAAAGGAATCCAGATAAATGCCTCATTTAGCCTCTTATTTTCATTGCTGAGGAGGACACAGCATTTCTTTCCACACACAGATTTTAAGGGCAGCACAGACATACCTTCATGACTGACACATTGTTCTTGGAGGAGTGGACACTGTTCACACAGCAGAGGCTGCTATGTACTAAGATTGTGAGAGGTGCTGGATCCTTGTCCTCAGTGAGTTTGAAGTAGCTAGCCTTGCCACCCACACCATCATTCATGGCTAAGAGGCATCAGAAGCACTTATTTTTAAAAAAATCATTTGTTTTAGAATCAATGGCTATGACTTGAAGTGCACATTTGAACATGATGAGAATATTAATCTAGATGCATTAGTGAGATTCTGTGTGCCCCTTTCCCACAAGTCCATAACTTCCTGGGCTTCCCACATATCTTTAGCTTGACCCTTTTATAAGTTTTAATTTGCTACATTTTCAATTGCAATTGGCCAATCATTTTAAACCACAGTGAATAGTATAATCATAGAATGCTTTAGAAATTATACACGAGTAATAATTCTGATTTTGTAAGTCCTAGAGGAAGGTTTGGGAGAATCTTTCCTTGTGATTCTTCCCCAGCATGGTGGTTTAAGTGAGAATGGCCCCCATAGACTCATATGTTTGAATGTTTGGTCCCCAGTTGGTAGACTGTATAGGAAGGATTAGGAGGTGTGGCTATGTTGGAGGGGGTTTCATTGGGAGTCGGTTTTTAGGTTTCAAAAGCCCACTCCTGGCCTGGTCTTGTTCTCTCTCTGCCTGCAACTTGTGGATCAGGTGTGGGCTCTCAGCTACTGCTTTAGTACTGGCTCAACTCAATACTTTCAAGTTTTACAATGGCATGAAAGCATTCATATTTAGTAGAACTTTTTAATTTCAAACTTGGATGTTTCCATGGGCTACTGATAAGTCACAAGACATTCTTTCCTGATGGCCAGTAGCAGAGAGAGCCATGGCTTCTACTGTCACAGGGGCAGATAACCAGCACACTATGCTCTTTGTATTCTTTAAACCACGTGGGATATTCAAACCTCCATGATAACATGGGCTTTCTGCTAGATGACATGGCTCAACTGGATTCTGAGTATGTTTAAGGTTAATTAGGTTCAGCTACAATGTGCAGTGGGTTAAGTGCATGGCATTTTTAATTTATGATATTTTCAACTTCCAATGGGTTTACTGGGATAGAACTCCAAGGTAAGTCATAGGCTATCTGCCCAGTACTTAAAAGCACTTAGTGCAATGAATATTTTTCTTTTGGTGCTCAATAACATGTATCAAGCAGAGGACATTTTGACAGCCTTTTATTGTTCTTAGACTTTTTTTTTGTTTGAATTCCTGATGCCTTAGCCTTGAGTGGCAGTTTATTACATTGCATGTGTGGTAGACAAATTCTCCTTCCTCCTTCTTAATGAATATATACATATATGTATATATATATATATAATGAATATATATAATGAATATATATAATGAATATATAATGAATATATATATAATGAATATATATATATAATGAATATATATATAATGAATATATATATAATGAATATATATATATATATATATATATATATTTACAAGGTGTTTCAGGGTCCTCTCTGCCAATTGCCTACCAAATCTATTTTGTGTCATTGGAGGTACAGCTGGGAGGGAGAGTAGAAATAATGTTCTTGGGAAAGATGTGTGTAGAAGAAAGCAACGGATCCTTCTGTCTGACCTCTTCTGCCTCCTCTGCCTGACACTCAGGCTGCGGTGGTTTGAATAAGAATGCCCCCATAAACTCAAATATTGAACTTCTTCGTCATCTTGGAGTCAAACTGTTTTGAGAAGGATTAGGAGGTGATACCTTAGTTATCATGGCCTTGTTGGTGGAACTGTGTCACTGGGAGTGGGCTTTTAAAAAGCCCATGTCAGGCCCATTCTCTCTTCCTCTACCTGCTGCCTGTGGATCAGGATATAATGTTCTCAGCTACTTCTCTAGTGCCATGATGATCATGGGCTAAGCTTCTGAAACGGTAAGCAAGCCCCCAATTTAATACTTTCTTTTTATAAGAATTGTCTTGGTCATGATGTCTCCTCACAGCAATAGAATGGTAACTAAGACACAGTCTTTGCCGAAAGTTTCATCTCCAGTTGAATGACCACTTCTCGTGAAGCTAACTCTCCTTTTTGCTTCAGCCTCATTCTAGATGTGGAAGAGAACCTTCTATGAGCTCCATCAGTGTCAGGCTGGGTTTTACATTACGTCATTATTTTGTGAACATGAAAAGGGGGGTATGTTTCATTCTTTACATATTAGGCTCTTAGTACCATGCCTGGAATAAAATAGTGAAAACTAGCAGAATCAAGTCAATTCCTTTCAACAGAAGGAAAAATGTTAGACCTAGTGTTTGGGAAAAACTGGAAAATTATTTAATCTGAAGCTAAATGAGAAAACTGATGTTTGGAAAAGGCAAATGTGGCCATTATAGTAGCTATGTACACATACACCATTGAGAATATCATTGTGAATTCAATTGAAAAATGTCCTTATTAATTATTGTAAAGGCATGAGCTGTGTTTTGCCTGCTAGCTAATGTTCGTTTGTGTATATGTGTCTGTGTGTAAACCTGTGTGTATATACACCAGTATGTGTAGAGACCAGAGGTCAATGCTGGGTGTCTTCCTCAGTCACTCTCCATCTAATGTTCTGGACAGGATCTCTCACTGAACCTGGAGCTCACCAATTCTGGAAGACCAGCTAACCAGCAGTTGAAAGACCCCCCTTTTGTCTCCCCAATGCTGAGATTATAGGTACATACTGTCATGTGTAGCTCTTTACATGGGTTCCGGGCATGCAAACTCAGGTCCTCATGTTTCTGCAGCAGTCA